ATTGTTTTGCAAGCACAAAGTTAAAAAGGCTTAACTAGTCACTTGTTTGAGCAAAAGTGACCAATCTGACTATTATTTACTGCTTAAGCTTATTTGTAATGTGTGAAACATTTAGGTTGGAAATTGGTGAAATCTACATTCTATGTATACAATGAAGTTTGCCCGGCATGGCCAGGTGGCTAGGGAGCTCGACTCGCAATCTGTGGGTGGTGGGATCGAATCCCCATCCCACCAAACATTATAATGTGATGGTCAATCCCACTATTCTTTGGTAAAAGAGAAGCCCAAGAGTTGGCGGTGGGTGGTGATGACTAGCTGCCTTCTCTCTAGTCTTACACTGTTAAATTAGGGATGGCTAGCTCAGATAGCCCACGTGTAGCTTGGTGTGAAATTAAAAACAAACAAAACAAAACACTGAAGTTTTCAAAAACTATCACTGAGTGTGAAGTTTCATGCAAAACGAATTTTTTTTCTTCTGCATTAATTTCAACAGATCCTATTCCACACTAAACTTAAATCTTGTCACTTACATGTTCACTGATGTTTAGTGATTTAGTACTAGTGTGAGAAAGAAAACTGTATTTGGCAATAACTGATTGGTACAAGAAACAATAAATATAAGAAAAACACAACTGTAGAGTATAGGTAATAGTATAAAATTTAATCACTGCAGTAGAAGCCTTGCCAAACATACAGTGTCACCTGTACTGTTGCCTGGCCTGCTGTTGACTTCACTAGCTAATGACTTCTTATGTGACTTTTGAGAGCATACTGATGACAAAAAAGAGTAAAACAGAGCGTTTAACTAAATTAACCTCTTTGCTTTGTGTCACATAATACTCTGTTTCTGTATTTTGAAACATTCTAAAATTTCAAGCTTTAACTCTCAAAATAAAGTACTTTAACCGTGCCAATTTATCCAGGCTGTACTCTTAACTGCCAGAGTTGGTTCTCTTGTGCTGACATGGTACAGGACAGGAAAGATGGCTGGATTATAAGGAAAATTTTTATTTAATAACTGTATTTTAGATCCCTGTATTTCTTTCTTCAGTTTTTATATTCTTTGAGACATAGGTGATTCAACAGACAAATATTATTCTTATGAACATAAGTATGTCTGATTGTTCAACACATTGCAGGCTTGTTCTCTATAACCCTATCTTCACTGCATTCTACTATGCAGGCTTATTCTCCGACAGCGTGATCTTCACTACACAGTTATGATCAGATTTAACTATGCAGTCTTATTCTCTATCAACCAGCTGCTAAGATTCTGGGTTCTCTTGCTATCACCATGTAAGGTAGTGAATAATATTGTATAGATATTTCATTTTGAGGTTCCACATTAAAGCTTGAAAAGTATGGAATACAGCTTCCTTTTGACTGTTGATATCATAGCCTAGTGTTCTGCAGATCACACAACTGTCCTAACTGCTGAGACTTATCTCTCACTAACAGCCGTAGTGATTTAGGGATTGATGGTGCTACTGTGGCTATGCATGTATAAGTAATGTTCATTAAGTGTGTTGGTGTTCTTTCCTTCTCTCCTCCTCCCCTTTATATGTGAAATAAACTGTATTGAAATAAGAATTAAATGAGGAAAATAATGTATTTAAATAAAATAAATATAAGCTTGAATTCACTATAACTTGTATTGAAATAAGAGGAGTTATTATACACATGATGAGCAATATAACTAGGATGAGACTTCTCAAGTGCATTTAGTCTCCTTCAAAGCAGAAACAAATCTCTTGGAAAGTACCAAAACTGTATTTTTTACCTTCTCTCTGTAGCTTACTAATCAGGAAACTGAAACAAACAAATCTCTTGGAGAGTACCAAAACTGTATTTTTTACCTTCTCTCTGTAGCTTACTAATCAGGAAACTGAAACAAACAAATCTCTTGGAGAGTACCAAAACTGTATTTTTTACCTTCTCTCTGTAGCTTACTAAATCAGGAAACTGAAATA